ACGGTCACGCGTGGCCAAAAAAAACCCGCTGGGAGCCGAGAAAACGCTGGGATGGGATGGGATTGATGGGATTGATGGGATTGATGGGATTGATGGGATGAAAAGGGGGATCCCACCCCCCGAGGGGTCCCCGGGGTCGGGCGATGACGCTGCAAAGATTTCCTCGTCCCGTGGGTCGGTCCACGGTCACGCGTGGCCAAAAAAAACCCGCCGGGAGCCGAGAAAACGCTGGGATGGGATGGGATTGATGGGATTTATGGGATTGATGGGATTGATGGGATGAAAAGGGGGATCCCACCCCCCGAGGGGTCCCCGGGGTCGGGCGATGACGCTGCAAAGATTTCCTGGCGCCGTGGGTCGGTCCACGGTCACGCGTGGCCAAAAAAACCCCGCCGGGAGCCGAGAAAACGCTGGGATGGGATGGGATTGATGGGATTGATGGGATTGATGGGATGGGATTGATGGGATGGGATTGATGGGATGAAAAGGGGGGATCCCAACCCCCGTGGGGTCTCGGGGAACCCCTGGAAAACCCCTGGAAAACCCCTGGAAACCTTTTATTTTTTGGTTTTCTCCCCTCCTCTCCCCCCGCTGGGAGCTGTGGGATAATCCTTGGAATTCGTGTCCTTCCCTCCCTCCCTCCCTCCCCCCCTCCGGGCTCTCTGCCCCGCCGGGTTTGTTGTTTTATTTTTCATTTTGTTTTAATTTTCTGCTGCCCTCGGCACATTTGGGGCTGTTTGGGTTGCCGGGAATGTCGGGATTTTTTTTTCCCGGTGGGATTAGAGAGGGGGTGGTTGTTGTGTAACCCTTTTGTTTGGACAGAGGGGCCCGATGTTGTGCCTTGGGTGATGAAATTTCCTCCCCTCCCCCTCCCAAATTCCTGCTCTGCCTGGCTGGGATTGGGATCTGGGGATGGGAAGGAAGTTTGGGATCCCACCAGGACTCCCTGCAGGTCCTGCAGGAGCTTCCTTGGGTGATGGAATCCTCTCCTGGCTGGGATTGGGATCTGCTGATGGGAAGGAAGTTCAGGATCCCACCAGGGCTCCCTGCAGGTCCTGCAGGAGCTTCCTTGGGTGATGGAATCCTCTCCTGGCTGGGATTGGGATCTGGGGATGGAGGGAAGTTTGGGATCCCACCAGGGCTCCCTGCAGGTCCTGCAGGAGCTTCCTTGGGTGATGGAATCCTCTCCTGGCTGGGATTGGGATCTGGGGATGGGAGGGAAGTTTGGGATCCCACCAGGGCTCCCTGCAGGTCCTGCAGGAGCTTCCTTGGGTGATGGAATCCTCTCCTGGCTGGGATTGGGATCTGGGGATGGGAGGGAAGTTCAGGATCCCACCAGGGCTCCCTGCAGGAGCTTCCTTGGGTGATGGAATCCTCTCCTGGCTGGGATTGGGATCTGGGGATGGGAGGAAGTTTGGGATCCCACCAGGGCTCCCTGCAGGTCCTGCAGGAGCTTCCTTGGGTGATGGAATCCTCTCCTGGCTGGGATTGGGATCTGGGGATGGGAGGAAGTTTGGGATCCCACCAGGGCTCCCTGCAGGTCCTGCAGGAGCTTCCTTGGGTGATGGAATCCTCTCCTGGCTGGGATTGGGATCTGGGGATGGGAGAGGAGTTCGGGATCCCACCAGGGCTCCCTGCAGGTTCAGGAGGAGCTTCCTTGGGTGATGGAATCCTCTCCTGGCTGGGATTGGGATCTGGGGATGGGAAGGAAGTTTGGGATCCCACCAGGCTCCCTGCAGGTCCTGCAGGAGCTTCCTTGGGTGATGGAATCCTCTCCTGGCTGGGATTGGGATCTGGGGGATGGGAGAGGAAGTTCATGGGGATCCCACCAGGGTCTCCTGCAGGTCTCATGGAGGAGCTTCCTTGGGTGATGGAATCCTCTCCTGGCTGGGATTGGGATCTGGGATGGGAGGAAGTTCAGGATCCCACCAGGGCTCCCTGCAGGTCCTGCAGGGCTTCCTTGGAGTGATGGAATCCTCTCCTGGCTGGGATTGGGATCTGGGGATGGGAGGGAGTTTGGGATCCCACCAGGGCTCCCTGCAGGTCCTGCAGGAGCTTCCTTGGGTGATGGAATCCTCTCCTGGCTGGGATTGGGATCTGGGGATGGGAGGGAAGTTCAGGATCCCACCAGGGCTCCCTGCAGGAGCTTCCTTGGGTGATGGAATCCTCTCCTGGCTGGGATTGGGATCTGGGGATGGGAGAGGAGTTTGGGATCCCACCAGGGCTCCCTGCAGGTCCTGCAGGAGCTTCCTTGGGTGATGGAATCCTCTCCTGGCTGGGATTGGGATCTGGGGATGGGAGAGGAGTTCGGGATCCCACCAGGGCTCCCTGCAGGTTCAGGAGGAGCTTCCTTGGGTGATGGAATCCTCTCCTGGCTGGGATTGGGATCTGGGAATGGGAGAGGAGTTCAGGATCCCACCAGGGCTCCCTGCAGGTCCTGCAGGAGCTTCCTTGGGTGATGGAATCCTCTCCTGGCTGGGATTGGGATCTGCTGATGGGAGAGAGGTTTGGGATCCCACCAGGGCTCCCTGCAGGTCCTGCAGGAGCTTCCTTGGGTGATGGAATCCTCTCCTGGCTGGGATTGGGATCTGGGGATGGGAAGGAAGTTTGGGATCCCACCAGGGCTCCCTGCAGGTCCTGCAGGAGCTTCCTTGGGTGATGGAATCCTCTCCTGGCTGGGATTGGGATCTACTGATGGGAGGGAAGTTCAGAATCCCACCAGGACACCCTGTAGGTTCAGGGGGAGCTCTGGGAACATCCCAGAAGTTCTACCTGGCTGGGATTGGGATCTGGGGATGGGAAGGAAATTTGGGATCCCACCAGGGCTCCCTGCAGGTCCTGCACCATCAGGAGGAGCTCTGGGAAGATCCCAGAAATTCTTGGAGTTGTTTTTTGACCTGGAGATCATCAGGAGGTGTCTGAGGAGCAGGAGGGATGAGGACACCACTCCTTGTCCTGCCAGGTGGTTCCAGCCCTTCCTGAGGTGTCTCCTTGTCCAAACCACCCAGGAGGAGCTTCCTTGGGTGATGGAATCCTCTCCTGGCTGGGATTGGGATCTGGGGATGGGAAGGAAATTTGGGATCCCACCAGGGCTCCCTGCAGGTCCTGCAGGAGCTTCCTTGGGTGATGGAATCCTCTCCATCCTGCCCTGCCTGGCTGGGATTGGGATCTGCTGATGGGAAGGAAATTCAGGATCCCACCAGGGCTCCCTGCAGGCTCAGGGGGAGCTCTGGGAAGATCCCAGAAGTTCTACCTGGCTGGGATTGGGATCTGCTGATGGGAGAGGGAAGTTCAGGATCCCACCAAGGCTCTTCCCATCTCCATCCTTCCACCACCTGCTCCCCCTTTTTTTTTTTCCAGCCCCTCCGTGCTCTGATTTTTGATTTTTTTTTTGGCTGACCCCGCTCCTCTCTCCCTCCCCCCCACATTCCCGTGGGATCAACCCCGAGCCGCGTGGAGAGGGAGGGAGGGAAAAATCCTCGTGGATGGGTGGATGGATTGATGGATTGTTGGATGGATTGTTGGACAACCAGGGCCAGGTTTTGAGGGATAAAAAAACCCGGGATCAAGAGCTCAGACAGCGCGGGACGAGCCAGGAATTCCTCGGCTTTCCGGGGGATTTTGGGAGGGCAGAAGAGGGGGGGGAAGAATCGAGGGGGGTGCTGATTGTTGTTGTTGTGGTTTTTGAAACCAGAATTGAGCGGCTCCCAAAGGTTGGGAGAGAGGGGGAGGGGAAGGGAATTCCAGGATTTCCCCCCCTCAGGATTTCTCTCCCAGGATCCCTCAGGATTCCCAGCCCGCCCCTTCTCGCCTCTCCGGGGGGGTTGGAATTCCACAGGTGGAGTTTTTGGGGGGTGGTGGCTCCTCCTTAAAGTGTTTTACACCCCCTTTGACCCCCCAAAATCCGGGCTGGCTCCCTGAGGAGGAGGAGGAGGAAGGGGGGGAAATTTTGGGGTTGAAATTCTTCATCCCCTCCCAAAAAATCAGCTCCTTTTCCCCCCTCAGGGCTGTGCCAGTGCCAGGGAAAATGAGGATTCAGGATGGGGAGGTTTGAGTGGGTCCCTTTTCCCACCTGTGAGGGGAAATTTTGGGGCTGAAATTCTTCATCCCCTCCCAAAAAATCAGCTCATTTTTTCCCCTCAGGGTGTGCCAGTGCCAGGGAAAATGAGGATCCAGGATGGGGAGGTTCGAGTGTCTTCCTTGGTCCTTTTTTCCACCTGTGAGGGGAAAATTTGGGGTTGAATTTCTTCATCCCCTCCCAAAATCAGCTCCTTTTTTCCCCCCAGGGCTGTGCCAGTGCCAGGGAAAATGAGGATCCAGAATGGAGAGGTTTGAGTGACTTCCCTGGTCATTTTCCCACCTGTGAGGGAAATTTTGGGGCTGAAATTCTTCATCCCCTCCCAAAAATCAGCTCCTTTTCTACCCCTCAGGGCTGTGCCAGTGCCAGGGAAAATGAGGATCCAGGATAGGGGAGGTTTGAGTGACTTCCTTGATCCCTTTTCCCACCTGTGAGGGGAAATTTTGGGGTTGAAATTCTTCATCCCCTCCCAAAATCAGCTCCTTTTCCCCCTCAGGGCAGTGCCAGTGCCAGGGAAAATGAGGATCCAGGATGGGGAGGTTTCAGTGACTTCCTTGGTCCCTTTTCCCACCTGTGAGGGAAAATTTGGGGCTCAAATTCTTCATCCCCTCCCCAAAAATCAGCTCCTTTTCCACCCCTCAGGGCTGTGCCAGTGCCAGGGAAAATGAGGATCCAGGACAGGGAGGTTTGAGTGACTTCCTTAATCCCTTTTCCCACCTGTGAGGGGAAATTTTGGGGCTGAAATTCTTCATCCCCTCCCAAAATCAGCTCCTTTTTCCCCTCAGGGCTGTGCCAGTGCCAGGGAAAATGAGGATCCAGGATGGGGAGGTTTCAGTGACCTCCTTGGTCCCTTTTCCCACCTGTGAGGGAAATTTTGGGGCTGAATTCTTCATCCCTTCCCAAAATCAGCTCCTTTTTCCCCCTCAGGGCAGTGCCAGTGCCAGGGAAAATGAGGATCCAGGATGGGAAAGATGATGGAGAGTTCTGAGTGACTTCCTTGGTCCTTTTTCCCACCCCTGAGGGGAAATTTTGGGGTTGAAATTCTTCATCCCCTCCCAAAAAATCAGCTCCTTTTCCCCCTCAGGGTGTGCCAGTTCCAGGGAAAATGAGGATCCAGGATGGGGAGGTTTGAGTGAATTCCTTGGTCCCTTTTCCCACCCAGGAGGGGAAATTTGGGGTTGAAATTTTTCACCCCCTCCCAAAATCAGCTCCTTTTTCCCCCTCAGGGCAGTGCCAGTGCCAGGGAAAATGAGGATCCAGGATGGGGAGGTTTGAGTGACCTCCTAGGTCCCTTTTCCCACCTGTGAGAGGAAATTTTGGGGCTGAATTCTTCATCCCATCCCAAAAAATCAGCTCCTTTTCCCCCTCAGGGCTGTGCCAGTGCCAGGGAAAATGAGGATTCAGGATGGGGAGGTTTCAGTGACCTCTTGGTCCTTTCATCCACCTGTGAGGGAAAATTTGGGGTTGAAATTCTTCATCCCCTCCCAAAAAATCAGCTCATTTTCCACCTCAGGGTTGTGCCAGTGCCAGGGAAAACGAGGATTCAGGATGGGGAGGTTTGAGTGACTTCCCTACTCCCTTTTCCCACCTGTGAGGGAAATTTTGGGCTGAAATTCTTCATCCCTTCCCAAAAAATCAGCTCATTTTTCCCCCTCAGGGTGTGCCAGTGCCAGGGAAAATGAGGATCCAGGATGGGAAAGATGGTGGAGAAGTTTGAGTGACCTCCTTGGTCATTTTTCCACCTGTGAGGGAAAATTTGGGGCTGAAATTCTTCATCCCCTCCCAAAAAATCAGCTCCTTTTCCCCCCTCAGGGCAGTGCCAGTGCCAGGGAAAATGAGGATTCAGGATGGGGAGGTTTGAGTGACTTCCTTGATCCCTTTTCCCACCTGTGAGGGGAAATTTTGGTGTTGAAATTCTTCATCCCCTCCCCAAAAATCAGCTCCTTTTCCCCCTCAGGGTGTGCCAGTGCCAGGGAAAATGAGGATCCAGGAGCAGCAGAACCTCTGTGGGGTGGGAATGACTTCCTTGATCCCTTTTTCCACCTGTGAGGGAAAATTTGGGGTTGAAATTCTTCATCC